ACTTATTAAATAGTGTATGCCTAATGGGCAGCTTTTTGCGCTACTATAATAATAATTTTAAGACCTTTTGTATCACCAAAAAGCACACAAATAAATACTTTGACTTTGACTTTGACTTTAAACCCCTTACTATGTAGTGTGTAAGGAAATATAGTTTGCAGTAAAAATTTAGTATATAGTTTAGGAAACATATTTTAAGTTACTATGTCGAATTATGTTAAGTTATCTGTAATGGCAAAGTAATAATAATTAATCTGTCAAACACCAAGCGGTCACCGGTGACCGCGACCTATTGTTCTTTAATTGTGTCTATAAAACCGGTACTCGACGAGTTAAAGAAATAAATAAAAAGAAAAATATTAAAATATTGTGTTCCTGACCTATCGATAGGGAGATGTTGGCTTTTTATTGAGGGGAAAAATCTTCCATTGGCTACTCCCGCCCGGTTGAAGCGAAAAGGAGTGTCAGTCTGTTACTGACTAAAAACCACCCCGTTCCTACTCCTGGTCTGGTTCTGGTCGAGTGACGAGTCACCCGTGCTCGCCGTCTGCAGGCCCGTACTTATGGTGGCCGGAGATCAGGGAGATGTTGCCTGCAGGTGGCTTTCAACTAGCCGGTCTAAAAATCACCGGGAAAGCCTATGTAAAGGCGTTATGTTATCTATGCTAGAGAGTGAAAACTGAAAAATAAATTAATGATGTGTCATACAAATTTTGTAGTAAATAGATGAAACAATCACATGGTTTTCCTTTTGGTTTAGTAAGTCCAATTGTTTTTTTAAATCATTTTCATTAATATATAATATTATTGTATAATTATCCTGTTATACGTAATATTTGTCATTATTACGTATTTGTTATGTCAAAAGGCCTACATGACATCATGGGCATATTCCTGGAATACATAGATAAACGTGGTTTGTTGTATGTTACGTCATGGACCTTCGAACTGTTTTTTTTTTCTTGGGAAAATTTTCTCTGATAATCATCCATTGACTCCATGAGGAAGTGTCAGACTCTTACTGACTAAAAACCGCCACGTTCCTACTCCTTTAATAGCAAACCAGTAGACTGATTACCTGATGGTAAGAATTCGGTGCTGCCCATTGACAATCGTAACACCAGAGGAATTACAAGTGCATTACCGACCTTACCCCTTACCCCCAGTAAGGGATTTGAGAATTGGGATTGGAGGTAGAAGGGATATTGGTTCTCTTAACTTTCCTCACACGGGGAAACACAACGCAAGTATTATTTCACGCTATGTTTCTGTAAGGCCGTGGTATCACTCCGGGTCGAGCCGGCCCATTCGTACCGAAGCATGGCTCGCTTACATTTGTAATAACCACCTCTTCGCAAGATTATTTCGTATGTAAAATCATGTTATGATTCTTTGACAGGTATGTTGACTAATACCAATGTAAACAGTTAAGGTTCTATTGGGTTTTACCTTTTCAAAATTCTCATTAATACCGCAATGTTGACTGAGTAATTAGTGCAGTGACTGCACAACCGATTGCTATGCATCGTGATACGAGTTCAATTGGGGTTTACAACACGGGAAAAATTTTATTTAAGCGAGAGGAAACTATTTATTACCTATATGTGTTTTAGACAACTTAAATCACAATAGAAATGTCAACATATCTATTACAGTTTCACCTCTGCTTACCCTTGTACGGAACATTAGGCGTGTGACAATATTAATTTTAAATAGGTATGTACAGTGGCCACTTGGCCAGCACATCAACCTTAGTAGGTTGGACACATTGTAGTCAATGTGTTAATTTTTGTCACAATTAAAGAACAATAGGTCGCGGTCACCGGTGACCGCTTGGTGTTTGACAGTTTAACTCGCTTCATGTGAACTTTCCGCAAATTCGACGATCAGTTTATACTGGTTTGTCATACCTTCATGTGCGTCAAGTTAGCACACTTTGAAATGCCGTTACAAGGATTAACCTTTGCATTTGGCCTTGCAGTTCACGTCTAAAGTACGGCACTAAAATTGTTATTTTGATACTAAGTACTGAGACACACCTAGCTTTGATAGTGCAGCTGTTAAGTATCTACTTGACATCTGAAGTTTTATTTGTACTTAATGTCATGTTTGATTTTGCTGAAGACGTTTTGAACAAAATCCTTACTAATATTATTAATCGGAAAGTGAGTTTGTTTGTTTGTTTCACTTTCACGCCGTAACTATTAAACCGATTGCTTTGAATTTTTGCAGACGTAAAGTTAGAAGTCCGGATTAAATAATAGGGTACTTTTTAACCCGGAAAAATTTGATATTCCCGAGGAAAAACAAAAGTATTGGTATAGATGGCGCTGTGTGTATTGGTGTATGTCACATAGGCTACTTTTTATCCTTTTGTGACGCGAGCGAAGCCGCGAGTAAAAGCTAGTGTATACATATATATTTTTATAATTATCATAGGCATTCACAGTATTAGGCGCCCATCTAATGCCCTCAAGAAAGATGGCGGTAAAGTGGTCACGTGCTGACGTGCACTGTACAGAAAGGCCCTAGTAATATACGTAGGTCTCAATAGGGAGGTGCCGTAACAGGCGTTGCACTGTGGGGACTCCGGGACTGGTCTACTAAGAGGATCCGATGAGTCCTTTAAGTCCTCCGGTGGCGGTTGGCCACCGGTAAGGGTTTTGTGAGGTAAAAATCCCACACTCCTTAGTCTTATTCCCTAAAAAGCTAAGCGCCTTTTGAAAGTTTTCCCTTGTCGACAAAAAAAGCATTCACATTGTTAATAAATATTGTTTAGTAGCAAATTAGCTCAGCGTAACAAATAACAAGTTCAATTCTTAGGTCAACGAAGCACTATTAGGTTTGTCGGTGTTCGAAATACTTACTAATATGGGAGCCGGAGTCCCGTATGGGGCAATGATAAAGGGTCGCCTCTCATAGTATGGGAATCATTATATAACTGGTGCAAATTGGATGTTATGTTACCTACATTTCATATGCGGACCCTAAATCAACCTCTCTCTACTCTAAATAAAATGTAAAAAGTTATGTATCGTATTGAATTTGAAAATAATTTTAATTTGCATCATATGTATGTACCTATGTCTGTATATCTAAACTACTTCCCTGATAGACAGACATACTTGCTAGCTTCACTGACGGATAGACTGATGGACAATTCAATTCTTGACGTTTCAAAAGTGTCTAATTAAGGTTTAATTGAAATAAATGTTTTGACTTTGACTTTCCAAACACACATATACAAAACCGATTCGTATTCGACAAATAGAAAAAATATTGACTTTATTGATGATTATTATTTGACTAGGTCCTTGCATCATCGTTATTACACACTCAAAAAAGTAACTGCGCAACATTGACAATTTAATGTATTCAAACACTGCCAACCGGATCTGATTCATCATTTAATAATATAATTATGATTGACACAATAACTGTCTATTGAAGACCGTGGATTGAAATTATTTTGATGAAACATGCAGTAAATATAAAATGAATTATGATATTGTAAATAAGAATATATGCCTGTCTCTTTCGCTTTCCTGCTCAAAGTACTAAAACAATTTGGTTGAAATTTTTCATTTTGAAATAGTGACAATGAGTCATACAAGAAAAACTTTAATGAAATTAAAGATTGTTTTATTGCTTAAGAAAAATGTGTCTTTGTGTGAAAGTGAGCCTTTGCCACGCAGTAGGACACTCACAAGCTTGTGGTGATGAATGATAATGATAAGTTAAAAGAATGTAATTATCGAGCGGAGTAATACGGACCTCACAGGAAACCAACATGAAACAAATTTTGCGTTGTGTTTCGTCGTGTGAGTTAGGTTACTAAAGGCCCAATTACCCCTCTCCCCAGTCTCCCTAATCCCCGAATCCCGAAAAATTTGACAAATTCCTAAACCCCAAAAAGCCAGTAATGCTCTTGTTATGCTTCCAGTGTTTCAAGTGTCCATGGGCGACTTCGATTGCTTACCATCAGGTGATCTGTCTACTGGTTTTCCAACAAATAAAAATCCCATCCACAAATCAAACTGAAGCATCTTGGAAAACAGCAAATTCAATTCTCGTTTGAACAAGAATCTACTAATTCCCCAGCGTCTGCAACATCCCACGAACTGCTCTTAACAAGAACCTGTTTCAACACGTTTAAAATAAATAGATACTGAATATTATTATAAAAAAGATGTCCCCGTATCGCACTCAACATTATTATTATAGATAAGCTGTTTTATCGCATTTTTATCGATAGTTTAATTGCTGCGATGATACATAATGACTGAATATAAATAATTAATTTCACGTGTCACTCGCTTATCGTATGTTCGCGAAATTTCACGAAAATGTACAGTACAACAGCACGTCAAGCTACCCCTTTAGGCGGCTTTCTTTAAAACATCTTTGTTATCAAGAGATGTCTAATGAGCGATCTACATATAGTGATCCAAGTTCGCCATAACTAGTGTGGGAGAGCCATGCTTCGACACGATAGGGCCAGCTCGACCGGAGTGATACCACGGCCTCATAGAAAACCAATGTGAAACAACGTAGGCGTTGGGATTCGACGTGTGAGTGAGGTTACCGGAAGCTCAATTAAACCCCCCACCACCACCACCCTACCCCAATGCCTGAATCCCCAACAATCCTCAAATTCCTAATCCCAAAATGCTGGTAACGCACTTGCAACGCATCTGCTGTTCCAGGTGTCCATGGGCGATTGCTTATCATCAGATGACCCGCCGGCTCGTTTACCGGCTTATAGCATAAAAAAATAACTTAGTAACTAAAATATTTGTTCTATTTAAAAACCAATTGCAACCCAACGGTAGCATTGGAGTCAGAAACTCAGCGTATGTTTTAAACATGTATTGAATACATGTAAATTAAAATCTACCAATGGCAACTCATACACGATTAATTAACATTGGCCCAGTAGAAAACGGTAATATAAAAGAGATACCGTTTTCATGTAATAAAAAAAATATTTCTTGAGCAACATGAAGGCCAAACCTTTTAAAGCCAAGCCCTTTATAAGGCCGCCCTTAATGGACTCGGTAACAATGACAGGCCTGCAAATGAAATTTTAATAATAGACAAGTTGGTCTAAGGTGAAGTTGGACTTGGACTTGTTACAACAAGTCTAATAATAAGGCCACATTATTTAATTTTTATGTTACTGCTTTTTCGTGAACGACGATTTTAATTTTTTTACGAGTGAGTGGTTTCGTGTGTGCGTGTGTATCTGTGTGAATCGTTACTCGTACGGACGAGAAGGTCAGGGTCACACAAATTGGTCTTTCATTATCTGTCTATAAAAATTAAATGACACTCGGTTTTTGTTATACTTTGTTTTTAACTTTTTTTTTTGTTTTATCAGATTTTAAATACGTAGTTTCCATTCGATTTTGTAATAGTGATTTTGCTTCTTTTTCTTTTTTTCTTTTATTCTTAATACAGAAGAACAGGTGGTGATTTGCGTAAATAGTGTGGCTGTCATTGCGCACTGTGTATTAAATAAATAATAAAACAAATTAAATCTTGACTTAAGAATTTGCAGAAATATGTGTAGTGAATTATTTATCCTTGAGTTTAATTTGTAATTTATTGAGTATATTTATCGAATCTATATAGGAGTTACTTAACCAAACACAAAAGCTCAACATTCAATACAAAATCAAATATCTACGTAATGAATTTACACTCGAACACGCTTATTGTTTTCCCCACAATACGATGTCAACAAAAAAAACGCGTCAACAAATATATTTACCGACCGACTTACTTTAATTGAATATTCTGAAGAGCCACCGCAACGACGGAGAATTTCAAAATAAAAAACTCTCTATTTTCCATCGTTTATTTTTACCCTCGCCTTTAATATTCTGACTTCGTAATATATTAAATTTACTTTATTTTTCAATATTCTCATCGCTCTTTTAATATTATGAGTTGATAATAATTTGATTGGCAGACTTATAAAGTCTTCCAACTTATAAAACATTCAATTATTGAGGGTGGCTCGAAGTGCTACGCATCCTCTACGGCGGTAGTCGCGCCTACGCGCGTAGCCCGGGCCCCTGCAACGCCTACGCGAGACGTAGCGAGCTACGAGTGTTTGTTTTTCCTGACGTCACGATAACCACAGGCTACATTGAAGCCCTACTACGTAAACAAATTACACTCATTTATCTAGCCTCTCATACAAGTGCATCGGTATAAAAATAAATGAGCTACAAACACTTAACGTAATTTTAAAAGTCGTTGGCATTCAGTTTTTATTCTTTGTTCGAAATTAATAAAATCACAGTGCAGAACATGTTATAAACAAAACGATAACACAAACCGCGCGTATTCTGGAGGCACGAATATGTTTAATCAAACGACTAGGTGTCATGTCATTAGTGAGCGAGCCAGACAGACGTGTGAGTATGCGAGTGTGAACAAGACAAGAAATATAGCAACAAGTCGCGGGCGCGAGGCGCGGGGGCGCGTTATCGTGTCCATGACGTCAGGACCCTTTCACTGTCCGAAGTTGCGTTCTGGCGGCAGAGACTTCAGTCCGCGCGGCTCGGTCACAGCGTGAGCACGTCTCGCGCTTAGTGTTCCTAAACTTCACCGACTCACGCGTCACTCGTTAAAAGAATACGTAAAATATATCGAAGCCAACTTTCGTCAGGAAAATAGTTCACACGCAAACGGCCCGCTCGGTCCTCCGTGTGTTACCGCTCCTGTTGCTCCTGTTAGCTTCGGATCTAAACTCCTGCCTGACTCCACCAGCACAATGGGCGTCATCAAAGTGAGCCCGGACACCGCGGCCCTATACTCTGCCTGCGACATGCTCGACGACATGAAGGTAAGTGTTACGAGAGAAAATCATGTGATGTCCAAACCTACGATGGCGGCGTTCCAACTGACCAGTTCCGTGTTAGTGAAAAAATATAGTGAATCGATGCGTGGGCGCAGACATTTGTCTCGTCGTTCTCGTCAATTTACGCGACGACGTTTCGCGTAATTCTAAATGTTATGCGCTTTTACGCGATGGTATTCGGCTCGGCGCACACGCCGTGCCAGGCGACTTTATGCAGATCGCGCGCGTTTTCTAGCCGCGGTGAAAACTCGTGTCGTTCGGTCAACGGAAGCGGTTGCCCTTATCAGTTGTTTGTGACATGATTGCTATAACTAGAATTGCTACGTGAGAACATTCACACAGTTTTAGCCTACGATTTAGTGCGTAACACACGAACATGTGGCGGTAGTCGTAGAAATACTCGCTAAAACGTTCAGACATTGTACTCGAATGCTTTGCTTAATCTGTCAAACACCGAGCGGTCACCGGTGACCGCGACCTATTGTTCTTTAATTGTGTCTATAAAACCGGTACTCGACGAGTTAATAAAACTTTATCGTAGGTAGGTACAAAGGAATCGATCTAACAATTGCCTAATGTTCCTTATTGATAGTAGTCTCGAACGTATAACAATGATTTATAGTAATAAAACCATTGGAGCTTGTTGCAAACGGAGATCCGAAGAATGTCGCGGTGACGCAAGATCGTTAAAAAATGTTTTGGTTATGTGAATTTTCAATGTGTACCATGTAACGATAACGTATATTATGATTCTCTTGGTTTTAAATGCGTGAACATTTTCTATTATTCGATGGCAAGTGACTTGTACGCGACAGTGGCCGAGGTGTAGCGCACAATAAAAGATCGTACCGTAGTTAGTAACAATGTTACAATATGCGTAAATCGAAGGAATTTGTGTCTAGCCGAGTGTGTTGTGTTGCACGCAATGCTTAGCAACAGTGCACGCTCGGTGCGCATGCGTCGAGGATTCCTTGTGGTTAATTTTCTTTAAAGTTTCAACAAATCAGATTTATTGCATTTTCATGGTCAAAATGAGAACGTATTTAGAAATATTGTTACGAATAAATTTGAAACGTAATTTTCGCTCATTAAGATATTTATCGTGACAATAGGTAAAAACTTGTATCATTTACATATTAACGTAATAAAAATACATTGGTATCGAAAGATAAATGTTTTTGTGTGCGTTCAAACGTATTGATATTGGCGGAGTGTACGTATTGGCTTAGTTACCTACATTGACGTTATTTTTTTATTCTCTCGACTTTTTTGGTCTGTTGCCTAACTTGATTTGCTGGAATTAGTTGCTTTTTAGCGTTTATGCTTCAATGGCTATCTATCGACAACAGCTTCGTTCAGTGCAAGGTAGACATTAAAATATGACGCTATTATTCTTTGTCATGATTAATAGGATCTTTATGTTGTCAAGAAATTAATTCGGAAAAAAAATTATAGAATTTAATATTAATATTTCATATGAACCTTGACCGGTTTTGACTTGGAATAGTATTCATTATAATAATTTTAATTATATTTTCTTCTAATTCTTGCTCATTTCAATACATTCTAATACCTATATATATACGTTGGTATTTACATCGCTACTCATGCAAATCATTGTTGAATGAAGAAAAATTTGCATGTGAACAGAACACGTGAATGCGTGGGATATGTTCCAATGTCATTTTATTAGAAACATTTTTTTAAATATCACATCTATATTTATTGAAATTAGATTCATTTTTGCTTCTTTGTCTCTTTTCATTTACGTATTTCTGGGATAATAATACCATAAATTTTTGTAGTGAATCTTATTCGTTTTTTAATTTTATATCTTGTAATCTTAGCAACAGGATCCGTATTCGATTGTGAATCTTTGTTTAAATTGTTAGTCTATTAATTTTATTACCATATTCAACTGCGGATGCATCCAATTAGTTAGTGTTTAAACGCAAGTTCAACGGAATTTACAGCAGATGTTTAGAAACGCGTAGATTTATTACAAGATATATGCCTATTTTGAAATATTTTTTGATAAAATGTTCACGTTACTTGCAAATAGAAAATTCTATGTGGCATTTTTGTGTAATGACAATATTTTTACAGCATTCTAGCGCATTCCTAAATAGATAGTAGTACAAAATAAGCCCAAGAGACAACAATTATTGGTAACATTGATTGCTTTTAAATAAAACAGAAAGCAATTATGAATAATATAAGTATTCGTAAATAAACAGCGATATATACTTGATGATACATAAACAATATTAAACAAAATAACACAATTTACAAGACCTGTACCTTTTTAAAAACATGTATTGATCATTCGAATATGCTCCTTATTGATATGTAGTACATGTAAAGGTATTCAACCTAGCCCCTTCGTCCTAATCGGGTCATATTGGACTGAATTATTTACATATGTACATTTTATAGTCCAGATGACGCTGTTTCTTTACGACATCATAAGAAATTCTTATAACACTTGAGTTATACTGGCATGTCAAGTTATCCTGAAACTATCAAATAATTTTCAACTGTATTATGAAATGTTAAGGTTGAAAGTTTATTAAAGATATAGGACAAGTTTGGGTATCTTGATGAGCTGGTGTCGCGGTCGGTACGTGATCTAAATCGTATTAGTTTTTGAAACATGTTAATATTGTTTATAACAACAGTTGAACGTGTGAAGGTGTTGTTGTTTTGAAATTACTCTCATTCATACTAAAACTACAAACTTTTTCTTTAATACAAACCTTATCGCGATAAAAACGATCACATCCCATTCAGAGCAGCCGTTCAGGAGTTAACGCGAACATACTTTCCGATGATTTAGTTTTAATTTTATAGACAAACCAATGACTCTATGACTAGACTCGTTATTTTTATTACTTTTAAATCGAGTTTTTAAACTTGACACTATCGAAATAGCTTATCGAAGACATTTATAGGAACGTGTTACATCTACGCCTGCTTTGAGTCGTACGCGCATATTCGTGAGCTTACCATCCTTGGTGTTAAGGGTGAGGCTACACTACGCAGCGACTTGCGATGGCATGGTCACACTATAAGCGAAAAGCTGGCGATGAAAATGAAGTGCTCGTGGAAATAAGATTTTTTTTGTGAAGTTTGGTTCTATATTTATTGCTAATATGTTGATGCTACTGATGCCATAATGATAGTTATTGTGTTCCTGTCGCACAAAGGAATCAAAGTTTGCCGGTAGTATTTTACACTAGCAGTACACAGTGAACACACAAAAAAAATCAATTTGACCAGTATTTCTGCCTATTAAAGCCAACAAACAAGTTATTCAGCTTTATAAATATTCGAATATTAAAAAATAACCTTTATTTATTATTCCTTACAATTAATTAACATTAAAAAAAATATTTCGTTTGTTTTAAAAATCTTTTTTTTTCTGAAGTTAGGCACTGTACTGCGCCTCACTTGTTAAATTCACAGCATCTGTATCAATACATAGGTATAGTCCTAAAGCACTTATAAGAAATGTGATGAAATCAAAATCAATGCTGCAAGAATGGAAAACAACCATTGAGAAAATTTTACCTGCTAGGCTAATATAAAGTAAAGATACAGTGTAGCATTTATTACCTTAATTCACTCATGTGTCGCGTCACAGTGTAGCCTAAGCTTAAGCGTCAAAACTAAAGCATTTTCTATAATAATATTGCTCACAGTCGCGGATGCAAGTAGAATGTGGGTCGTAATGTGTTTTGAAACAACTCAATGTCGCGCCGCGTCGTGCATCGCGGCCTCGCGTGCGCCGGCGCTGGTAAAAGTGCACGTTTCGATTTATTTATTAGTTTTTTTTTAGTTGTTTGTAGTGACGCTATTTTACGTCTCTTTTTTATTGTTGTGTCTGTCTCCTTAATTGAGGCAAGTGTGATTCCTGAGCAACGGGTCTTCGTTTCCATTTTTGGGTTATCTATACACATATACATACACATACAATGTATATCACCCCCTATTACATGGGCCTCATAACATAAATAGTGAAAAGTGGGTGTTACATTGTACAGTGGCATAATGTGCACCTCTGCCTACCCTATGTTATGTTATATTATGCTTTTAAACAATTTTCCAACATCAGTTAGCTGTTGTCTAGTTTTGTCATGTTTACAAATATTTAGTAAAATCCTTGTACCTTTTAAACACATACATGTATTATAAACGCCTTCTATTTAGCCTAGTCATAAAACATTATACATATGTACCTAACTAAGCATTATTTAAATATTATGTTGTTGTCTGTTATCAAGCGATTCCAAGTAATCACAATCAACATAATGGAAATTTGAAGTCATTTTAATAATTCGATGTTTTCCTCACTATCTATTTGGGTGAATCAAATATGTATGTACAACATGAAATGTTATTCCCTGGTAAAAACATGGTTTATCAATGGACCCTGACATCACAATATTAATACCTACTGATTTATCAACATAACGTAAGTGTAAATGATTTACTAATGTAACTTTCACTAGCATACATTCTTAAATGCTATAAGACGAAATAAATATGAAAAAAAAATAAAGAATGTTTGAAATATATAAATAATAATGAAGAGCCCTGACCACCGGTAGCTTGGATTTCTCCCGTTACTGGTGGGCTACTGGTTTCTGTATTTTTAAATGTGTTTTTTTATAGTCAAATATTTAAAAATGTATAAAACAAGTTTAAAAATAAATAAGTAAAGGAATAATGTTTATTTCATCAACTATTATGTACATAAAAAATATAAGAACAATATTTTAAGCAAGCGTTTGCGTATGGTAGGCGGAAAATCTCACCAATAGTGTGTCCTATCCATAAATTGAACTAGTCACCCGTTGTTCAGCATTCATAATATATGTGTAGTTCATTAAAAAGATAACTTATTACATAAACACGAAGAACTAACAAAAGCAATATCTTTAAACTCTTGCCTTAACGTAAGACGAAAATCAAGCAAAATGACA